CCCACTGACTTATTTCCAGAACATTCCCAAATCCAACACTGTGTAAAGTAGGCTGAGCCTCACCCAGAGAGCTGGGGCCAGGGCCATGAAGAGGCAGACTCAAAATGCTTGGGGTGCGCGCCTGCCGTCTCCAAGGGCTACAACATCCAAGGGTGGTGATATCTTTCCTATCCCCTCTTTCTCCATCTCTCTTTGACTCTCTTAATGTCTGTCTGTTTCTCCCTCCTTCTTTTTCTCTCCGTTTCTAACCTTATTCTTGGCGCCTAAGGGTAACATAATTTCTAATTTTCCGAAGTCCTTCCAGTTGCAACCTGTTTCAAGAATGTAATTTTGCTAAATTCTGTTAGTTGTAATCTGTTGGTTTGAGAGTGATAATGTTGGGTTTTTTGACAAGCTTCGTAATTCTACTAAATTCTAAGTAATGTTTTATATAAGCCTCCTGAGTAATGGTCTTATTCTTAAAACACCGCTAAGAGAATTCCAGAGGTTACTCTTGCTGACTGGGTTGCTAAAAGTGATTACTCAAGAGAGGAAGATTGGATCCAAATCTCTCTGGGTCAACCCCACCTCTGGGGAACTCTACCCATGCCGACTTTGTGGAATGTGGTATTTCATTTGGGTCTTCATCTCTGCGGGAGCCCTGTCCACTTTGTGGAATGTGATGAGGGCAAAAGAATAAAAACGTTTTATCTATGTGAACACACAATTTGACCATTGGGCAACTTGGTCTACAAACTGGAGACAACAATTTTAGCAATTAAAACACAACCTGTAGTTTTACGTTTGTTTTTCTTCCAGTAAAGCGCTAAACATTATGGCACCTTAAATTACTGCAAATGTCTGTTTTGAAATAGTTACGTTTTGTTTTCATACATCTTTCCCCACTAACTTAGCCTGCACAGTAGTGCATCATGTAAAAAGCTGTTGTGTTGATGTGAAAATGATGCATGTGGAATTTCACCAGTCATTGGTTTCCAGGCCCAATGTATGTACAATCCAAACAAGGCTTTTTCTCTTCCAGACTTCATTTCGAGGTAATTGGATATTTTGTGCACAGGGATTTAATAAAACTGCTACTGTGCTTCTCTTAAAAAATTACATACATCAAAGTACATGCAGTTAAACAGTGTGACAGTAATTCACTCCCTCATCATTCCTGCACTGTTGAAATGATAAATGAGCCAACAGAGACATTCAAAAACCATACAGCAGATTTTGATGATGCCACATTACTCCTTAAAATGAGGAAATTATGAAACTTAAAATTGTGTATAACATTAGAACTAGATTTGATCATTGTGCTTGGGTGGGGTCCTCATTCAATAAGTCACCAGGACCCTCTTCTCTGAAGGAGAGCCCCTCGTTCAGTAACCATCCTGATAAACTGGACACTGTCCTTGAAAGGGAACCCCTTCCTTTGGGAGCCACTTGGATAAATGAGACACTGTCCTTACTTGATTAGGAGCAGTGGTGGGCAAGAGGAGCCCTGTGGAGGCGCAGTGCCACCTTGTGAAAGATCACTTTCCTGTTGAAGGACAGAGTGCATGCGTGAAAATACAGGTCATTGCTCAGTCAACCTGGATGGAATGGGAGCAGGAGATCATCTGGACCTGCGTGCCCCACTGACTTATTTCCAGAACATTCCCAAATCCAACACTGTGTAAAGTAGGCTGAGCCTCACCCAGAGAGCTGGGGCCAGGGCCATGAAGAGGCAGACTCAAAATGCTTGGGGTGCGCGCCTGCCGTCTCCAAGGGCTACAACATCATGCTGAGATTACTGCTGCATCCAAG